TCTCTCCCCCCCCGTGCCTCTCTCCCCCCGTGCCTCTCTCCCCCCCGTGTCTCTCTCCCCCCGTGCCTCTCTCCCCCCCCGTGCCTCTCTCCCCCCCCCGTGCCTCTCTCCCCCCCGTGCTCTCTCCCCCCCGTGCTCTCTCCCCCCCCGTGCCTCTCTCCCCCCCGTCTCTCTCCCCCCGTGCCTCTCTCCGCCCCCCCGTGTCTCTCTCCGCCCCCCGTGTCTCTCCGCCCCCCCGTGTCTCTCTCCCCCCCCTGTGTCTCTCTCCCCCACCGTGTCTCTCCCCCCCCCCGTGTCTCTCCCCCCCCCCCGTGTCTCTCCCCCCCTCCCTGTGTGTCTCCCCCCTCCCCGTGTTCTCTCCCCCTCCCCGTGTCTCTCCCCCCTCCCTGTGTCTCTCCCCCTCCCTGTGTCTCTCCCACCTCCCTGTACCTCTCTCTCCCGTCCCTGTGTCCTCTCCCCTCCCTGTGTCTCTCCCCCCCCACCCTCCCCGTGTCTCTCCCCCCTCCCTGTGTCTCTCCCCCGTCCCTGTGTCTCTCCCACCTCCCTGTACCTCTCTCTCCCGTCCCTGTGTCTCTCTCCCCTCCCTGTGTCTCTCCCCCCCCCGTGTCTCTCTCCTCTCCCTGTGACTCTCTCCCCCCTCCCTGTGACTCTCCCCCTCCCGTGTCTCTCCCCCCCCCCCCATGTCTCTCTCCCGTCCCTGTGTCTCTCCCCCCTCCCTGTACCTCTCTCCCCCTCCCTGTGCCTCTCCACTGCCACTCCCTGTGCCTTTCCACCCCCCCTCCCTGTGTATCTCCACCCCCCCTCCCTGTGCCTCTCCCCCCCCTCGTGCCTCTCCCCCCCCTCCCTGTGCCTCTCCCCCCCCCCCCGTGCCTCTCCCCCCACCCACTGTGTGACAGAGTATTGATCAGCTTATTGACAACACGGTGCCGGCTCGGATCCGCCTGAGGCGGCCGCTGAGGATGGAGGACGCTGTGTGTGAGTAAAATGTCCCATTGTTGTTGTTGTTTCTGATAGTTTGTCAACATGAAACACTTGATTCTAATGAAATGCGGGGACACACGTGACAACAGAACCCCCCACCACCCACCCCCGAACCACCCACACCCCACGATCCCCCCCCACAGCCCGCACCATCCCCCCCATAGCCCGCACCAGCCCCCACCCTCCATGCAGCCCCCACCCCCCACGCAGCCCCCCCCACGCAGCCTCCCCCACGCAGCCCCCCACGCACCCCCCCACGCAGCCCCCCCCACGCAGCCCCCCCCCACGCAGCCCCCCCCATGCAGCCCCCCCCATGCAGCCACCCCCCCGCAGCACCCCCCACGCAGCCCCCCCACGCAGCACCCCCCCCCACCCCCTCTCCCTTCCCCCACCTCTGTGTGTCCATATTAGGTCGAGGTGCAGCCTGTCTGTAAGCCTGTGCGCAGCACACCATTGGAGGAAGGAGCAAACACACTAGACAAGACCCGCCGGCGTAGACAGGCAGACAAGACGACAACAACAACTTGCATTAAATATAGCGCCCTTCACGCAGGGTAGCGTCCCGGAGTGCTTAGACAAGTCGACCAGACAGACGAGCAAAGAGGTTGAAGAAGTTTATCTTCAACATATGCCCATTTCTCTCTCTCTCTTCGCTCACCTAGCTTCCCATCCCCCCTCATCCCCTTCCCCCTTGCTTTGTGCATCTGGCTTGTATTGGGGTTTGTTACTCAAATTGCTGGCGCTGATTTTCAGATATGGGAGGGGTACTTGTCATGTCCTTGAAAGCACTCTGGGCCACTATCCTTCGTAAGGGGCTCTTTTTAAATGCAAGTTGTTTTTGTGTGGGTGTATTAAAAAAAAACCTTCCCTTTGGCCGTGGGGACTATGCTACTCGCAGCTGTCATTGCCCAAGCTATAGTGTGCGCCTCCAGGCTCCTCACAGTTGCGACTGCGCAGGAAAGTTAGCTCTACACTATTGTGTCACAGTCATGGATTGTTATCATCTGGGCTTGATGATGAGACAGCTCTGGCCACTGGGTCTGGTTTGTGCAGGAGAGTCGCAGCTGTGGTTTCAGTCAGTCATGCGGGATCTGTTCCCAGAGTAAAGTCTGCTTTAGAAAGTTGTGGAGCTTTAATAATCTAAAACTAAAAACACAGCTGATCCTTCGCCCACAATATATGCAGTCAATTCACTTTACAGTATAATCTGTGAAGCGCTTTGAGATGTCGAAAAAGATGTGATAAGGCGCTATATCAAATGCAAGGATTATTATCCTAGACAAACTAAGCTCTAATCAGCCTTTCTATCTCACAAGAAATGTGAGAGCACTTTGATTGTTGCCAATCGCCTGCACAAGTGTACAGTACTGAAGTATTGTTGCTATATCTGCTCAGTGAGACACTTCAAGTATCTTCACCCATGTGTTTATATGGGGTGCGCATCGTGGGGGGAGGGATGGGGATGGGGAGGATGGGTGGTATAAGGAAGCTTGTCTTTTAGCTTTTTTTAAAAATGCTATAATTCCATAGCAAATCATTGCGATGTCTAGCAAGCAGTGGCCGCTGATTTTCCAGCGACGACCACCCTATTGTTTGGGATTTGGTTTGAGTTAACAGGAGCTGAGTGGGAAGGATCGCTGCCCTCGGGCTGGCTGGTCCATCATCAGCAGTACATTGGAGTACTGCAAACCCATCTGCCTCAGAATCTAAACTATGAGGACTACCACAGACGTTATTGTTTCATTCCATTGGTAAACACATCACCTTGAATGCATCTTAGCCTAGAGAAGACTGCAGGATAGTCACTAGATCTTTCTTGGTTGGGAGAGGGGGGTGGGGAGAGGAGAGGTGCTATGTCTGCTGTATGCTGCTGTTATTGGTATTCAGCACGCAAATCTATAATGATCTCTATGATTCACTAGAGTGTTTGATCTCAATGTTGGTGGTGAGCCAAGCCAACCTAACTATATGGCCCTCATCTGTGCTGAGATGGCTGGGTTGACTGCAGTTAATCCTTAGCTGTGTGATAGCTGCACAAGTGACTTTTCAATCAATCTTTGATTAAGCCTTTCGATTTAAAATATTTTAACAGAATAACAACTCTGTTTACAAAGTACTAGAAGTGTTTGTAAAGGCACAAGATGGGTGTCACATTGTGTGGGCATCACGGTGGACATGCGATGATCCCAGAAAGGGAATTGTGAAGATGTTCCCTCAATTCTTGCTGTAATAATGCAACTCGTAAACTTTCAAAATCTAAAATCCAATCATTTCTACCCTTTTCCCTTTATTTCTGTAGGACAGAAAAACCTCACAGAAATACCGTAAATACTAAAATGGGTCATTTTTCTATTCACTAATTGATCAGATTTTGTGAGTTGAAGATGGAAATCTGAATCCTCATTTAACATTTATTATCTTGTCCTCGAGGGCAGTGTTTCTCAACCTTTTTGATACCAGGGACCCATTCAGTTTCTTCTTATAAACATGGTGGGCAGCGAGTAAATGAGCCTGGAAAGACAAACAATCTAAAGGGATCACTGGAATGGACTGGCCGTGAGATAATCACAGATGGGCCCTGGTTCTCTTAACAGTCGAGAAACACTGCACTGCTGTAACTTTTCCTGAGTGAAGAATGTTGTAATAATTTACACTGTATTTGTATTTAGGTCAGTGGGATAAAGCTTAGACATCAAGTTCATGTCAGGATGGGGCAATAATCGTGTTGATTCATCTATTTGATCACAATCGATAGTAACATTTACAAGTAGCAAGTTTGGATTTTTCCGTAAACATGTGATTTTGGGGAGGAAAGAAAGGTTGTAGATACTATTGCAAGATTGAATTGGTAGTCATGATCTTACATCATATGTGGTGTCCGTCTGGCTGAGTCGGTATGGTAGCACTTTTTGCCTGAGTCACAAAGGTTCAAAGCCCCACATCTTTGAACTCAGATCGTTCAGGCTATCACTCCAATGCAATGGTGATGGTGTGCTGCAATGGGAAAGGTACCAGCCTTCTGATGAGACGTTAAACCAAAGTGTGGAGTCCTGTAGCTCAGTGGTTAGAGCACTCGCTTTGCAAGTGAGAGACCTGAGTTCAATTCCAGGCACAGGGCGAAACCTTGGGCAAGTTTCCTTACTCCACACGCCTAATAATAATCCCCCCAAAAAACCAAAAACAATAATAAATTGGTCATCTTCAATCCATGACTGTTTGTGGGACATTGCTGTGCGCAATTGGCTGCCGTGTTTGCCCACAAATATACAGTCAATTCACTTTACAGTATATTCTGTGAAACGCTTTGGGACGTCTAGAAGACGTGAAAAGCGCTATATCAAATGCAAGGATTATTATTATTAAAGTCCTCTCTGCCTATTTAGGTGGACATTAAAGATCCCAAGGCACCTCTCAAAGCGAAGAGTTTCTCTGACATTGAAGGCATTATATCAATATTCTTATTTTATGACACCCACCCCCATCAGAAAGGTAGGGATTGGCTTGCTGGGATTTTCACTAAGAGCAAAGCAAAGGGCAGTTAACACTTTGCTCTTCAAATGTCCCAAACCATTATTGATCGTGCATGAGTTTAGTGCCCAGTTGTTGCTCAAATAGATGCATGACATGGCACAGCCAGAAATATTGAACCAATTGTTGGAAATCTGAAGCTTTGATCAGCATACAAATCCTCTTCATGAATGAACTATAGTAACATTACAAAGGTAGAATAGATCGACACATTGTGCTTCACATTGCTATGCTTCATGTTCCCTTTGTTATTAAATTACATTGAATATTTAGTAGACAAATTTCTTCAAACGTTTTTTTTAAGGGGAAAGAACTCCCTTTGTCTATTGTGGTCAGTGCTAGTAAATTACTGTTTCACTGCAGCTGGTTCACTGCACTGAATGTCTTCTGTTCAATACCATTGGATTATGTAAAAATGAGGAGTGCCAAATGGAACTGACAAGGAAATTGTGGACAAGGGAGCACCAATGCTGCTTTGCTAATGTGAGGGTAGAACCCTGTGTAGTAATGCAGAGTCTGTGAAACTGGTTGAAGATTGGTAGCTAAATTTAGTTATGCTCCATGCACTTGCTTTATCATGGTTGTTGTTAATTATCAGGTAGTGTATCAGTTAGAGCGCATTAGTTAGAGCACTCACTTTGCCTCGATTCCTCGGTGAGGCGAAATCTTAAGCAAGTTTCCCTACTTCACATGCTTCTGTTTACCTAGCAGTAACTAGGAACCTGGATGTTAAGTTGATTCACGGATCGTTTTCCGTTGGTGGTCATCAATCCACAACTGTTTGTAGGACACTGCTGTGTGTAGTTGGCTGCCCATTTTGCCCACAAAGGCCATTTGGGCTCACTTCTCTGAGTGCCTAAGAGTGACTCTTGCTCGCAAGTAGAAGTGCCTCAGTAATCATCATGCCAAATCACCAGTAATTGGAAGTGGATTGTTTTGGAGCACACTTCACACAGTTGGCATAACACACTTGAATGTTATTGGCAGGAATGAATATTTCATTAGCAATTCCTATTATGCAAATCATTCTGGACCTCAAGGGCATACACCCAGTTGCTACTGCGTTGAAATACTACATGTTTTCATTACTTGGACTTGGATCACATTTATACACCTTGTAGTGATATTGTATAGAACCTTGGCGTCTTGGTTGACACTCAACTATCCTTTCTACCCCACATCCGTGCCATGACCCGCTCTGCCTTCCCCCACCTCCGCAACATCGTCTGGCTCCACCACTGTCTCATACCACAGACTGCTGAAACCTCATACACACATTCATAACATCCAGGCTTGACTATGAAAACTCCTTGCTTGTTGGCCTCCCCAACTCCTTCCTCCATAGGCTGCAGATCATCCAGAACCCTACAGCCTGTGTCCTCTCCAGCACCAGGTTCTGTGACCTTATCTCCCCCATCCTAGCTTGACTCCATTGGCTTCCCATCACACCGAGGTTACAGTTCAAG